TTTCTTTCTTTCTTTCTTTCTTTCTTTCTTTCTTTCTTTCTTCCTTCCTTCCTTCCTTCCTTCTTTCTTTCTTTCTTTTTCTTTCTTTCCTCTTTCTTTCTTTTCAATGTTTTAAAATGGAATTCATTGGGGTGATATTGACTAATGGAATTGTACAGGTTTCAGGTAGGCATTTCGACAAGACATCATCTGTGTATTTATTGTTTTCATTGCTTCCTCCGGTTGGAATTTATTCTGCCTTCCTCCCAGAAGCAGAGACTCTCCTAATCAGAGGCCCTGGACTGGTTGCCAACTGTCTGGGGGAGAGAATGAAGCTGCCCTACAGGGTCCCTGGGGAGTGGCTCTCAGGCAATTGCTTTGCTCTGATTGGTGTCCTGGGTTGAATTGTGCCAGCCTTCAAGCCCACATGATGAAGCCCTACCCAGCCAGGACCCCGCAGGTGGCTGTAATACTGTGTGAAATGGGAGATTATGGTGGGAGAAGGTCATAGGCATCATCCCTAATCCAATGTGACTGTGTTCTTATACGAAGTGGAGATGTGGAAACACAAAGAGACATGAGGGACGCCGGGCATGGAGGCCAGGCCCTGGGAGGCCCAGCGAGGGCGGCCCCTCCAAGCCCAGGAGGGCGGTCTCACTCATGGACCTGAGCTCCTGGCCCCAGAACTACATGAAAATCAATGTCTGTGGCGGAAGGGACCCACAGTGGCGTTTCGCTGTGGCAGCCCCCGCTAACTAACAATAGGCCATGCCACCCTGGCAAGTAGAGCCTTTGAGGCAATGGAACTGCTCATCGGAACAATAGTTTCTTTCTGATCGAGATTGTTCTCCCTCTGAATCCAGGGCCCTGATGCTGCTGCCGCATCAGCCTGGAACTGTGGGCATCTGGTGTTGGGCCTTTGGCCATGTCTGTGGTCATGGCACGACAGTGAGGGTGTGTGGGAGGTGCTCCAGGCACCTGTGGGTCTAGGCAGAGAGGCAGCTGGATGCTGACAGGGCACAGAACAGCCCTGGTGCCAGAACTGCCTGGCCCATATGGCAGCAGGGAGAGGCTGAGAAACTGTGGTCCCAATCGGTGGTTCTTCACGTTGCACAGTCGTCACCACCCCTGGGATACACTTAAAAATATGGTACAGCATGCTGGGGTGGGACCTATGGACTGGGATTTAAAACAGCTCCTCAGGCAAATGGCATGTGCAGTCGAGAACGAGAACTTCCGGACAACTGGTGGTCAAATTTTAGTCAGAGAATGAACAGGAAAGAGAACTAAAGAGTTACTGGGTCAAAATAGTGGGGTAAAAGCCAGGGGGAAGTGGCTGGGTGGAGGGCGCAAGGAGGGGGAAATGGGGGACAGCTGTAATATGGTCAACAATAAAAAAGTTATCTATTAAAAAAATTACTAGGTCAAGATTTGGGAGCAGACAGGAATGAGGGGAAGGGCAGCATATTCTATTATTATAAAAACATAAAATCGTTATGAATTTAAAAACTTGAGCAGTTAGTGGAGATAGTGATATTTTTCTATTTATACATTTACACAGAAAATTTGAATATTCACTTGAACAAACCTGAAGATTTAGTTGAGATAGAGAAATTCTTGGAAAAAAACCACAATTTACTAAAATAAAAAAATGAGAATTAGACAATCTTAGTCCCAAAAGCACCAAAGCAATGGAGATAAAACTGGGACCAGATGGCTTCATCAGCAAAGTCTACCCAGCAACGAACAAGGACAAGAGTCAACTCTGCACAGACTGTTCTCAGAGCGAGAAAAGGGAGACTATTCACCACCCGGTTCCGGGTGTGATGCCAACTTGGTCGTAATACCAATACCTAAGGTGCTTAGTAATGGTGGGTGTGGTGAAGGTCTGGGGTGGGCGGGGTCAATGGGGGCAAAGGGGGACATATGTAATAATCCTATCTAATAAAAGACAAAAAGGGTAATTGACCATATCTTCAATAGCTCCCCATTGACTAATCAGGGTGATGTGCAAATTAACCTCCAACAAAGATGGTAGCTAATTTGCATACTGCAGGCAGGGCAGGACAGCGCCAACCACCAGCGTGCCATCTAGGGCAGGCCTGGCCGCGGGGAAGGCACTCCCACCCCAGAAGCCCCAGCAGCCGGCCGTTCCCTGTCACGGGGGACCCGAAGTCGGTGGGTCCCCCCGGTGGCAGGGCACGCTGGGTGGCAGGGGCGCACCTGTTTCTGGGGTCTGCGGGCTCTTCTGCCTCTGGGCCCTGCTGCTTCCAGCTTCCTCTCTCCAGAGTTCACGGCCAAAACCTGGGGGCACAGTGGCAAGTGGGGACTGTTAAGGACCTCAAATGACTCCAATCTGCCCAGAAAGCCACAGCCTAGGACAGGAGAGCTGGGACGGTGGCATATTCAGCGCAGTGATTCCTGTCCCACCCAAAGCCCTGGTGCAGACAGGACACCAAGGCGCAGCAGGCAAGACCTGCCCAGGTCACACTGTCAGCCATGGGGCCCAGGTGAGCCGAGCCCCACGCTACGGGGCTCGTGGGTCAGGCTCGGGCCCGGGAAGGAGGGGCCGGCGTCCTGGATCCCGGATCCCAAATCCCCGCGGGGGGAAGATGCGGGAGGGCCGCATCACCGACTCCCCAGGCGGAGCAGCCGCACTGCGGGCTCCCAGCCCTGAAATTGGCCAATGAGAAGCCAGGGCAGAAGAGGCTGGCACTTCCGCTTGGGGAAAGGGGCGGGGTCTGCGGGCCAAAGTGGCAGTGAGTACCGGCTGGAGGCTGGAGCTTCTGCACCCTAGGAGGGTCCCTGGCCCTTGGGTTTGGGAGACGTGGACATTAGGGGGGACTGGACCCAGGGCCTTGGGTGATAGGGGTGCCCGGGAGTCCCTGGGACATCTGGCAGCTGGAGTCTGGGGCACCTGCTGGATGATAAGACCCTTAACTGTCCAGCGGGGGTGCAAAGGGCTGGGGGGATCCTCAGTAGGTCTGTGGGTGGCTCTAGGTCCCCCAGGGTGATAGGCCTGGCTGTGACCTTCCCCAGAGCTGCCCTGTCCAGACCATGGACCCTGAGGTGTCTCTGCTGCTGCAGTGCGCCCCGGGCGGGCTGCCCGAGGATCAAGTTCAAGCTGAGCTAAGCCCAGCCTATGACCCTCGGTGGGTCCTGCGGTGGCAGGCCACGCCTGCCCCAGAAGCCCCCAGCAGCCAGCAGGGTGAATCAAAAACCAAACCCACTTTAAATATAAAGACACATATAGATTAAAAGTAAATGAATTAAGCTGCAGCCTGTTTTGCTCAGTGGATAGAGCATTAGCCTGTGGACTGAAGGGTCCCAGGTTCGATTCCAGTCATGGGCATGTACCTCAGTTGCTGGCTTGATCCCTAGTCCCTATCAGAGCATGTTCCTAATTGCTTCTAGCACAATTTATTAAATTGTGCTAAAATTTACAAGGGTTCAATTAAAAAATACCTTAATTTTAAATGATATAATAGAAAATACATAAAAGTGCAGTTATAAGCACTTATCTGAAAATAAAAATTTAAAGAAGTGAATTTAAAGAAGGGATTATCCAAAGAAAATATATACACAAACCATGGACACAGACAACAGTATGGTGATGGCCAGAGAGAAGTGGGGGGCAAGAGCTGGTAGAGGGGGCAAAAGGGGGGAAATAGGGACATCCTATCCTATATAATAAAAGGGTAATATGCAAATGAACCAACTGGCAGAAGGACAGGTTGCTATGATGGGCACTGACCACCAGGCGGCAGGTGCTCAGGAGCTGCCCTCTAGTGGTCAGTGTGCTCCCACGGGGGAGCGCTGCTCAGTCAGAAGTCCTGAGCCAGGCTCATGGTGGCTCCTTCTGGCTGTGGAAACCATGAGTGGTGGGAGCCTCTCCTGCCTCCACAGCAGTGCTAAGGAGCAGCGAGCAGAGCACTAAGGAGCGAGGGCTGTGAGAGGGATGTCCAACTGCAGATATCCCCTCTGAGGGGTCACAGACTGGGAGAGGGTGCAGGCCAGGCTGTGAGACCCCCCCGAGTGCATGAATTTTCATGCACAGGGCCTCTAGTTAATAATAATAAAAGGCTAATATGCAAATTGACTGAATGGCAGAATGACCGGTTGCTATGATGTGCATAGGCCACCAGGGGCCAGACACTCAATGCAGGAGCTGCCTCCTGGTGGTCAGTGCACTTCCATATGGGGAGTGCCACTCAGCCAGAAGCTGGCACGCAGCTGGCCAAAGCAGTGGTGGTGGCAGGAGCCTCTCCCACCTCCGTGGCAGCACTAAGAATGTCAAACTAACGGTTTAGACCTGATCCCTCGGGGACCTAAGCCTTTAGTCGGACATCCCCCAAGGGCTCCCTGGCTGCCAGAAGGATGTCTGACTGCAAGCTTAGGCCTGATCCCTCAAGGAGTGGGCCTAAGTCGACAGGTGGACATCCCCCAAGGGGTCCTGGACTGTGAATGGGCGCAGGCCGGGCTGAGGGACCGTCCCCAGTGCACAAATTTTTGTACACCGGACCTCTAGTTTCAATAATAAAGACTGAAAAAAGATCAGTAATGCCAGGAAAGTAAAGGAAAACTGCAGGCCAACGTCCCTGATCAGCAGAGGCAAAATCCTAAATAAAATATCAGTAAAAAGTCAAACCAAGTTCCATTTATTTCACAAACACAGGTTTTATTTAACATTTGAAAATCAGTCAATGCCTATTAAGAATAAAGAGGGGAAATCATATGATTATCTCCATAGATGAAGAAAAACGCTGGGGGGAAAAATCCGACATTGACCTATGATAAAAACAACAACAAAAGGACTCAGCCAATAAAGAACTAGAGGGAACAGCCTAAAATGAGCCAGAATGTCTACAGGAGTTGCCACAAACAGCAGCCTTAACAGTCAAACACTGGAACTTCCCATTGGAGATTGGCAGCAAGTCCAGCATAGCTGCTATCATTCATTCCATCCAACACTGTACTTGAGGGTCTAGCCAGAGCAGTAAGATAAGAAAACATAAATAAAAGGTGTAAGTGTTGGAAATAAATAAATAAAATAGCCAATTTCTACGTGTAAACCTAAGGAAATACGTGCAATACCTCTATCAGAAATAAAGTATTTTTTGTGAAGTTAAAGAAGACCTAAATAAGGAAAAATACTGTTTGTTGGAAGATTATTTTGAAAATTAGAATTTCCCCCAAATTAATCTACAGATTTAGCCCTAATCCCAAGGCCTCCTTTCAGTGAAACGTGACAAGCAGATCTTAAATGTGCATGGAACTCTCTTTTCTCGCCCCTAATTCTCTTTTCTCAGGTGGTCACTTATAGTGGGGTTATTGTTGTGATGAGTACATTCGTGCTTTGGTCCCTTTGTGTTGTGTCTTGTCGAGGTGGATTTTATCCCGTCTGACCAGGTGCTAGAGAGGGAGCCTCATAACCAGACCCTGGAGAGGAAACTCCATCCACAAACGGGTTAATAACACCCCAGACCCAACTACAGAGGCAGGAAGAAGGCGGCAGTGAGGGAGAGAGCGTGAGTGAGGGAGCAAGAGGAGTGTGTGGTCATGTGGGGTGTGTGTATGTGTGTGTGTGTGTGTGTGTGTGTGTGTGTGTCACAGTTAGATCCCACAGGATCTTCAGGGGCAGGCTAACCGGGCTGGCCTAACTAGGCAGCCTATGCTACCATTGCAAACAGGACCAGGAGGTCGGCTCGTCCTCAGAGGCCTCGCCTTTTTAAGGGGAGAGCTGCAGTAACTGGGAGCCCAGTCTCACCTCCACCCAGGGTGCCCTCAGGTAACAGCTGGGACTCTACAGCCACCCCTGCCAGAGACCTGCTACCTCGGCTGTGGTCCCACGATCAACGAGTCTCCAGCCACCCTGGGCGCAGGCTCCAGTGAGTTTTGAAGCGTGTTCCCCTCTGACTGGCCCAACTCCTTAGCCCAGGGCACTGCAACCACGTGAGCAGTGGACACGTAAGCAGTCCACTCCTGTCCAAGGAGCAGCAGACCCACAAGCAGCCCGCCCCAGGCCTAAGATCAGAAGTCTCACGTGGCCTGCGCCTGTCCATGGAGCAGCAGCTTCGCAGCCCGCACCCTGCACCTGTCTGAGGAACAGCAGCTGTGCGAGCAACCTGCCCCTGTCCAGGGAGCAGCAGCTGTGTGAGCAGACCACCCCCATATGAGGAACGGTAGCGCCATGAGCAGCCCGCCCCTATTTGAGCAGCTGTAGCCGCCTGAGCAGCCCACCCCAATCCGAGGAGCAGCCGCCACACAAGCAGACCACCCACATCTGAGGAGCGGCAGCCCTGCGCAGTCCGCACTGGTCCGAGGAGCAGCAGCCACATGCAGCCTGCACCTGTTCGACAGGCAGCAGCTGGGTGAGTGGCCTGCTTCTGTCCGAGGAGCAGCAGCCACACGTGCAGATTGCCCACATCTAAGGAGCAGCAGCTCTGTGCAGCCTGCACTGGTCAAGGAGGAGGCAGGGGATCCATGATTCTCTCTCATCATGGATGTTTCTATCTCACTCCCGCTTCCTCTCTGAAACCATTAACAATATATTTTAAAAACACAGATAGAAAAAAAAAACCAAGAATTGCAGGGAAGGACCAATGCCTTCCTCCTGGGAGCTGCTGGGCGCCTGGGAAAAGTGGGCTGGAGAGGGAGGTCTCTGTTTAAGGGAGCACTATCCCCGCTGCCCCCTCCCCACACTCATCTCCTCCGCCTCCACGCTGCAGCCACCGGCCTCTGAAGCCATTTCTGGTTTGTCCCTCTCCCAGTTTATAAACCCTCCAGGCTCACCCGAACCCAGATGCCCCCTAAGGCCTCGCTGGACCTGGCCACAACCCCAACCTGTTCTGGGCTCACTCTGTGCCTGAGAGGCAGGAGGCGCTCACTGAGTAGATGCCTGGCTCTCAGTCCTCACTCTGCCTGTGACTGACCACGGGCCTCTGGCTGTCATTGACCCACAGAAGGGCGTTTGCGATTGTTCCTTCTTCCTCGAGGGCTGTGAGGCTGAAATTAAAAGTGAGCCCTGGCCAGTGTGGTTCAGTGAATAGAGCATCAGCCCAAGGACTGAAGGGTGATTCTGGTCAAGGGCATGTACCTTGTTTGCAGGCTGCATCCCAGGTCAGGTCGGGTGCGTGCAGGAGGCAACCAAGTGCTGTGTCTCTCACATCAATGTGTCTCTCCCCCTCCCTTCCACCCTTCCTAAAAATCAATGGAAAAATATCCTTGGGTGAGGATCAACAACAAAAAACAAACAAACAACAAAGTGAGAGCTGTTGTTGTGTGTTTTTTCCTCTCCTCTGTGGCTTCCCCACCAGATGTCTCTGGGTCTGGATTGATCCTCCCCACTCTCCCCCCCACAATCTCACTGTAAATGAGGACTGTAAATTCCGTCGCCCTCAGCAGCTGGCAGATGGTACACATCTGTGCCGTGGGCTGAGGAGAGGCGACAGGGAGTGGTGGGGCCTGTGGTGACCCAGGGAGCCAGCTCGGCTGGACCAGCAGCCCCGTTCAGCTGCAGCTCACTGTTGCCACATTGTTTGTCTTTGTACGAGAAGATCAAAAAATCTAAATTGTCTGGGACAAATCCTGATTTTTAAATGCTGAGAGGAATTCAATTTTACTTTTTAAAAAATGCCATGAACACCAAAACCACCCCCACTCTCCTTTGCTTCTCAGCTTCCTCCAGGAAGCCTTCCTGGCCTGCCAGGCCAGGTCACCTCCGCCCACAGTCACATGCGCCCTCAGCACCCTGCCCTGGCCAGTGTTTCACAACAGGATGTAATTAGGTAATCAATTATACAACCTGGCTCCTCCCAAACCCAGCTTCTACCTTATAGAGTCACCAAGTCAGGGCTGTGTTCTCCTGTGTATCCCCTCCCCCCAGGCAGGGCCTGCGCACAGGAGCTGTGAGCTAAAGATTGGCTGAAGCAGAGAGTGGGCAGACGCAGACTGCTTTTTCCTTTCTTCCTTTTTTTTGTTAATCCTCACCCAAGGATATTTTTTCCATTACTTTTCAGAGAGAGTGGAAGGGAGAGAGAGAAGCATTGATGTGAGAAACATCAGCTGGTTGCCTCCCCCACACGCCATTACAGGAGGCAGGGAGGGAACCTGCAACCCAGGTAAGGCCCTTGACCAGGAATCGAACCCACAACCCTGTGGTGTGCTGACTGGTGCTCTAACCACTGAGATACCAGCCAGGGCAGCCTCAAATGGCCTTAATTTCTAGACACCTGGGCTAGGTTCCTGAAGAGCTGATTCAGGGCCCCGGGTCCCTGTGTCATTCTGACATCATTCTATCCTCACAGAAAGACCACATGAAATAAATGTGGGCAATGTATGTGTATATATATATATTAGAGGCCCAGTGCACAAAAATTTGTGCACTTGAGGGGAGGGGGGTCCCTCAGCCCAGCCTGTGCCCTCTCGCAGTCTGGGACCCCTCGGGAGATAACGACATGCTGGCTTAGGCCCGCTCTCGGGTGGCAGAGGGCAGGCCCAATCCCTAGGTGCAGCCCCTGGTCGGGCTCA